CCAGACCGTGCTGGCTCCTGAGAGAGAGTTCCAGGGGCAGCGGTCTGGAGGGGAGTGTGCCTGAAAAGAAGTTTAAAATCCATTCCATGAGGATTTCTTGAAACCCCACCATGCCCAGTAAGGGATCTATGGGATCTGCCCCAGGAAACAGCGCAGGGAGATGAAATGGCATCGAGGAAGGGTGGGTGGGGCACCGCGCCCAAAGGAGGGGAGTCCATGGATGGACCCCAGGGTATTTTGGGAGCCATGAAGACAAAGAGCAAAGCAGAGGCTGGTTATCTCTGAGGAGACGGGCACTTGTTCCAGAAAGGAGGAGCTTTCTTGCCCAGCTCCTTGCCGTGCCATGGTGGCTAGCCAGACTGAGGCTGCCGCATCTCCGGGCTGGTAAACCAGCAGCGACCGCCCCAGATTCCTTCTGCATCTTTATAAACTGGAAATGCCCTCGGACGGCCCAGTCGGAGAGGAGTGGATTTTAAAAAGGAAGGTTTCTCTTTTGTGGACAAACGGAACATGATTCAGCACAAGCAGCTGATCAGGAATGGGGAGGCCGGGCTCTCCCTGCCGGCTCGGCTCCCCTCCCACAAAACCTCGGCAGAGGCTCTGGACTGCACCTGTGGATGGGATCCCTGAGGCGCCCACGGAGGCCTGGGCACCAGGCCGCTCCTCTCTCCAAGAACACCACCACCTGGCAGGCTGTCAGGAACAGCCAGGCCCTGAGGACACTGCTCCCGGACATCCAGCCACATGGAAGGCAAACGTGTGGGATCTCATGACCATACGGATGCGCCTAGTGGATAAGCCTGCAGATGTCCAGCTGTGGCTGGGGATTCGAGAGCTTTTCCAGAACACACGGTGATGGGGGGAGGGGGTGGCGATGCAGAGCTTCACGCTGCACAGACTGATGAAAGAATGTCACAGGCCTGCGGGGGTTCAACACCATGCCAGGGACAACGGTGATGGCGGGGTCTCCACACTTGGGAAGCATGTGACTTGGTCTGACCAACAAATTCTATGTCAGGTGAAAAACTCTATGCAGAAGATTAAGTGCTCCCCAGTGTCGTGGGACCTAAAAGGCGAGTGACTCTCAGAGCCAAGGGCTGACACGGAAGCTGCCTCGGAAAGGCAAGAGGCATTCACTGGAAATGGGGAAAGGCGTTCCAGGTCAGGGTAGAATCAGATCGAGGCCAAGGGTGGGAGGGCCCTCCCTGCTGGGTGTCTGTTGGCCTTCCAAGCGGCTCACTGAAAGAGATTTTCTTAGGTGGGGTCCAGGCCCAAGCCACATCACTGAGCGGGACTGGACAGACCAACCCCGGAAGAGCTCTGCCCAGCAGGGCTGTGCCATACTGAATGGCAATAAACTGACCTAATCAGACCCTCTTTCTGGGAAGCAGGGAGGCAGGTGCACATGAGCAGGTGGGCCATTTCAGCCTGGTATATCCTGGGGAGACTGACCCCTTATTCTAGCGTCCCACGAAGCTAGCCAACAACCTAGTCTGCGATCTGTGTGCCTCAGAGAGGCTCATTTTGCCCTCTCTCCATGCCTGAAGGTACTTCTTTCCCAGGGCTCCTTAAAGATGGCAGGCCTGAGCCCGGGGCTTAGGGAGAAGCATCTGGGGGAAGGGTCAGGCCCGCAGGAATGAAGCCCAGGGATGGGGAGAGGAATGGCTTCCTCTACCCACAGCTGGCTTCTTTTGTCCCCAAGCGTTCCCCGTGACAGAATATTTCTGAACATGCCCTGAGCTTTCGATGTAGACAGAGCCCTGATCCAGAAACTCTCTGGGCCTGGCCTGAGAGAGGATGCCAAGACCCTGCCCCTAGACCCGCCGGCCCCAAAGGGGGACGGGGTCTCTTGTTTCTTATCATTGCTGTGAGAATGTATCTGGATTTGTAGAGCTAACTCCACTGCACATTCTTGGTACCATCTGCTCTGCTCAGTCCCCCAGTGATTCTTTGGGAAATCAGGAAACAGAACTCAGGAGGTTATCTGCTGGGTCCAAGGTCAAAGCTGACTAAGGACTGGAAGGCAAGCCGCCTTGGGCCCCAGCTCTTCTCACGATTACACAGCTCCTGCAGAAGGAGGGATCGCTCTACTCGTGCAGGGCAGCTTCCTGGCACTCTGCCTGAACCCCTGGGCTTGGCTCAGTTAGCATTAGGTAAAGTCTCCTAATACCTTTCCAGCAAGTGACGAGCACAGACTGACCCGAGAGTCTCCAATCAGGGAAACCACCCTCCAGACCTCAGAGGCGAAGGTGGGGGGGGCACTTGGAAGTGAGTGACGCCGGCAGCCGCCACAAAATGCCACCCAAGGTCCCGAGGTCCCTGCTTCCATTCCCGAGCCTGTAGCAAGTCACATAGAGGGAGAAACGTGATACCAGACTAGAGCAGATCTTGAACTTGGGGTCTGCGAGCCCTTTGCAATTCTTGCAAGATTGTACACACATGTTGGTGCATGGTCTGGGATGAATGTCCATAGCTCATTCAGGGCTCCAGATGCTAATGACTTAAAACTGAGAAGCATAGGGTCTAAGATCCCAAGTCTCCTCTAGCCCTAGAGCTATGGCCTTCCCAAACCCAGCAGCCAAACACACACTTTCAAACACAAGAGAAAGCACTGTGCGAAAAAGCAACGCAGGGCTATGACCGTCCTGGCTGCTGTTGGGTCCCTACCTGTTCCCGTTCACCTACACTTGCCCCGAGGGGCTGAGCCAACCCCTGGTGAGGCCCGGGGTGTCTTTCCTGTCTCTCAGTGGCTGCTCATTCCCTTTCTGAACATCACCACCTCCAGACTAGAGGAGCAAACTGGAAAGGAAACACAATTTGGGAAAAAAAGCCACTTCTTGCACAGATCCAGCGCGACATTCCTCTGTAGAGCCTCAGGGTCCTAGAACACGGCCTGTGTGTGTCTCTCATAGCCATTCGGACCCCGGGGCTCCCCTCTCACACTGCTCAGGGGCCATGACCATCTCTGGGAGAAGCCCTGATCTGTATGTTCCTGGCAATAGGGTAGCTCTCCATGCCCCTTGGAGAGGCCCATCACTGATTCCAAAGAGACCCCAGACCTCACCCACAGGCCAGAGGCCAAGGACCCTGACACAGGAGCAGGAAGGCAAGTTTTCCTGCTCCTTTCACAGAAAAGGGGCAAGTCTGATTAACCCCATCTTGCCCCCCATCAGCCCTCCCTAAGGGCTAAGACACCTAAGAAGGGTGTCAGGCCACAGACAAGACCAACAATTCCCAGGAAATGTTCCCTGTCTCAAGGAGCCCGTAAGGCCACAGGAACTCACCTACTCTCCAAAAACCAGGGAGTGGTTCAGCCTCTGGATGTGGAATCACACTCAGTTTCAGCGGGACTGGAGGAGCCCAGGTGTCTGCCAACGCCTGCGGGCCCTATGCAAATGGCCCTGGAGAACGCTGGCTCAACTTTGTTCTTTTACCCTTGAAGTGGGGTTTATCTTGACCCCCACCTGTCAGCCCTCTCTGCTCCTCTGTACCCCCTGAAGCACCCACCCCAGTGCTGGGGGAAAAGCACATGATCAGTAGTAGAACCTTCTGACTGTCTGTACTCCATGGGACAGGATGGTCTGGAAAATCAATCTTTCTGTCTGAAAGCATCAGAGTTTCTGGAGAAGCCATCCTCTGTTTCCCATTTTCAAAAGATAGAGAAACACACGCCTGCTGAAGTTATGTCCTGCATAATGTCATCTTTTTTTAATGATTCAATTCAGAGAAGAAACCTAGGGATCCAGAGGCATCTCAGGCACCATGCTGGATGCTGTTTGGAAAAGCAAAGGCAAGAGGAGTAGCCCCAAGTCTTCCCAAGTCCCCAAGCCCCTGCTTCCTTCTCCCTACGCAGCACACACCTTGGGAACGCACTCCACTGTAACAATGCACCAGATACAGAAGGTGTGTGTCTGTGGAGTGGGGTAGGGGGAAGGGTGCTACAAAACCCCGGAGGGATGTGTGTCTGATTAGATTTTGGAAGCGCCTACAAGGAAGGCAGCGCTCCTACAGCCTCTTTCATTAGTGATAGAGAAACTTTAGAAAGGCCACCTGAGGTCCCCCCTCCTGGGTCTGCAGTGGACTCCACCATTGCTGGGGTGAATTGAGGAGGAATATGGGGGCTGGACTCAGTCACCCCCCAAAAGCTGGGCCAAGACAACTTGTTTGGTGATGCAGGAGATGCACCCTTCTGCCTCTCAACAAAATCCATGGACCAGGGGGCCCCCTCCCTCAAAGGAAAGTGAAGGAGGAAAACAAGCCAGGGATGGGGATGACAGCATCTGCCCAGGGCAGCCCCGCAGCAAAGGGGACTGCCCTGATCGGCAGTCAGTCCCTAGCCAACGGAACAGGGACAGGAACAGGCTGAAGGCGGAGTGCCTCAGGTTCCTGCAGCCCGGTACTCACAAAGGAAACCAAGCCAGCTCCCCCCTCCCTTCTCTCCACTGTTCAGCAGAGGCTCCTGGCTGAGCACCTGTCGAAGTAAGCCAGGGGAGATAAAAGCTGTCTCCCACCTCGACGGCTACGCAGGATGCCTCCAAGGTTGGGCAAATGATCTCAGGACTGGCACTTCATCAGTCCCAGGGCTGTGCCCTTGGACTCCCCCTGGGGAAATTGACGACTGTGCATTCCCTGAGGACCCTTGGTGACTGTCAGCGGATAGAGAGGAAGAAAAGCGCCCTGGCATCCAGACTAGGCATCCGTCCCCGCATCTGCTCCCTCTGACCATCCCTGGGACCTGCCTCCCTCTCTGCCCACGGACGAGAGAAAGGGGGACATTATTCCAACAGGTCCCCTTCAGCCGGGCCTCACCGGGCCAGCCTTCCTCCGCCCCGCCCCGAGGCCTCAAATTCAGCGGGAGCGCCGAGGCACCTGCTGCCAGACCCACGGCGTCCCCGCGAGAGGGGGCCCTGGGCGGTGCCCTCGGCGCTCCCGGCCAGCTCGGCAAGGGGCGGGGCGCTCCCGGGGCCGGCGCGCCCCCCGCACCCCCTCCCCGCGCTCACCTGGCGCAGGTGCTGCAGCAGCGTCCCCGCCTCCTCCCGCCGGCCCTGGCGCACCATCCGCAGCAGCTCCTGGACCATGCCGACGCGCCGGTGGTAAGGGGGCAGCCCCGCGCCAGCGCCCGCGCGCCCCGCCTTGTCCCCGGCGCGCAGCAGCAGCGACGCCCAGAAGTCGGGCCGTTCGCGGCGGGGGCCGGGCGCTGCGCCGGGGCTGGCTCTCTCGGCCAGGCTGCCCTTGGTCTGCCGGGTGCCCATGCCGCCGCGGCCCGCCGGCCCTGCCCGCGCCCGGCCGCGACGCCGCGTCCCCCGCCCGCTGCCCGCCCCTCGGCCGCCCGGGCGCGCCCGCCTCCCGCGCGGCAACTTTGGGGGAACTGTTGCGCGCGGGCGGCGCGGGGGCGGGGGCGAGCGGCTGCCCGCGCTCCCCTCGCTCCTCCCTCCGCGCTCCCCGGGCGCGCTCCCCGGGCGCTCGCCGCCCGCCCGCC